ATTACTCGTGTGACCTTGAACAAGCCCCCTGACCTCTTTGTTGAGCCTGTCTCATGGTGGGCAGGGGGCAGTGGGGATTAGCACAGACAGGGCACACAGATGCTTTGTACCAAACAGGGAGTTATCGCAGGACTGCGTTAGCCCATGGCTGGCTCGCAGGGGAGGGTAGCGTACCAACGTCTGTTGAACCCCAAGTATGTGCCGTGCCTTTGGGGGGTGCTGTTCACACACCACCTCCCCCCATGCTCAGGGCTCCATGCTGCTGCCTACCCAGAGGACAGGGAAGGACACAGATCAGTGTCCCTGGAAGAAGGCTGGGATGGAGCCTGGCTACCGAGACCCTCCAACTCGTTTCCATGTGCCTTTATGTTCCTCCTGGGTCCACATTGTTCCCAGACTGTCTGTTCTCTGAACTACATTATGCAAATCCCAGCTAGCCCAGTATCCATAGAAACCAACATCTCCCATCTTCCTCTGCCTGTTCCCTGGCAGGAGAAACCCACCCAAGTGACACCCACAAACAAGGACAAACAACGCCCCTTAGCAGCAGAGCTTCCCTCCATCCTGGGCCACCAGACTTTAGTAGTCATTGAACCCATCTTGCTGGGTCCTCTGATCAAGGACAGGGGAAGGGAGGGGTGGCACAGGCCAGTGTCAGAAGCTGCATTTTCTTTTTGAAATCTCGAAGGGAGACGATACAATCCCGGCATCTCTCATCACTAACAATCATCTCCATCCAATCCAAACTGCTCCACCGCTGCTGGGCGTTAAGGTCATCCTCACAGCGGACATGAATCAGTATTTGTCATCGTCTTTAATCTCACACATCCATCAGTCACCTCTGGAACATGACAACACCATTGTATCATGCATAATCGATTGCTAATTTTATGAGCTATTTTTCAAGACCGGCTCCTCTCTCCAATAACCTTTCTCATGCCTAAAACACTGTGACTCATTAGCCTTCTTTTTTCTCCAGGCTCAAAACATGAGGCAAAACTTCTGGGACAACACCCAGGTTCCTGAATATTGGCTGGCAGCAGCGCCCTGAAGCAGCCGTCCCCACTGTGTGCAAGACACGGGCTTTGCTTGTGACTCTCAGGATGTTGGAACTAGAAAAAAAACATGCAAGTGCCCAGGTTTCCCTGTTTACAGAAGAGAAGGTGAACGACTGCATCAGTCCTGCTGTTACTTAAGCAGCAGAGCCAGGTAAACAGTAAACTGTCACCTGCTAAGTGTATGTCAGACCCCTATTCTAAGTATTTGTTCATTTAATCTCATAGCTACCCTATAAGGTAGGAACTCCTATTATCTCCATTTCCCTCATGATGAAACTAAGGCACAGAGAGGTTAAGTAACTCTCCCAACATCACACAGCGGTTGAGTCAGAGTGTGAACCCAGGTTGTCCGATACCATATCCCAGCCTCTTACCCACTGGGTACCTTTGTGAGGACTGAGATTTTTAAAATCTATATTGAGGTCTCACAGTTAATGTTTCCACCTCGCTTTTTCTCTGTTTCAAAATCCTAGGGGAAAATATTTTCAACAAGAACAAAAAGCAAAATCCACCTATTGGACTGACTGCATTAAAAAACATCCAGGACGAGCCTTCCCCTTTGACAGAGAAATGATTTTAATAACATCCTCTGAGTCTTCTCCTCTTGGTTGAGCTACTTTGGGATACAGAGCTGGAGTATCTGCTCTTCAACTACAGCGTAGTGGGGGAACCAAAATACACTTACAATGCGTGCTATGCATAAAACATGCCTGCAAGGATTAAACAAAACCGGCACTATGGATTGCCTACGTGGATGCTGAGTGTTCGGGCTGAAGAAGGAAAGAGATTATTCTAGTACATACTGTACCTTTGGTTTCCAGCCATGTAAATGGATTATCTAATCAACACAAATTAAGGACAAGCTCTTGCTTGCCTTTTTGTGAGGACGCTGCATGTCTGTGCCTATAACTTCGAGTCCTATTTTTCTCGGTTATTACAACAAATCCATTTTCTCAAGTTACTGAAATTTTTTGTAAGTTTTATATACGCATCTGCGTTAAAAATCCCAACATAGATAACTCAGTATTTCTCAATTTCTCACCTTTCTTTGGGATTTGTTGTTATCTCGAATCATAATCTCAACATTCAGAATCTCCCATTTTCTGAATCTCCCATAATTAGCCAGCATGTATTAATCCTACGCCAACTTTAGGATATAATACTAGGCATCTTTACTAAAAATTGCCAGAGGTAGACACTGGAATCCTCACTCTACGGGAGGGAGCAGGGGGCGGAACGGCTCAGGTGGCTCACAGTCCCAGGGTTGGGGTCTGGATCCAGGAATCCGGATTTCAGGCTTCATGACAATTTCTCCTCCCCAGAGTGATTAGTGGAGCCTCAAAGGACAGCCCTTCGGACCTGCAGTGTGCATCTCCAACTAGACACGTACTCAGCATCATTGACTAGGGCCGCAGAAATAGAAAGGGAAGATGGTGTGGTCCCCGCACTCACAGATCTCCATGCAGAGGAGACAGGGATGAGCACGGCTAGCAGAACGGGCAACGGGCAACGTGCAGCGGCAGCCAGGGGAGCCGGCCGGGGCTGGGAAGGTACCGTGTTTCCCCAAAAATGAGACCTACCCATAAAATAAGCCCTAGCAGGATTTCTAAGCATTTGCGCAATAGAAGCCCTACCCGGAAAATAAAACCTAGTGCTGGGCGTGGCTACGCAGCGCATCTGTACAACCCATGCATGTCATCGCGGAGCGGTGAAGAAGATGAGCAGCCCTTCTCATTGGCCCCATCGTGACAGCTACTTTCCCAGAGGTGACCGGAAAGGTGTGGCAGCCCCAGCAACAACGTCGGCTCCCCCGTCAGGCCCTGGCCATCCTGTGCGTGCTGCAAGCTGAGGCTTTGAGGGGAAAATAACACATCCCCTGAAAATAAGCCCTAGGGCGTCTTCTTGAGGAAAAATAAATATAAGACCCTGTCTTACTTTCAGGGAAACACGGTACCAGCCAGCCAAGAAGAACGATTTGGGAGCCGGGGCAGGCGTTGCAGGCAGGAGGACAATGGAGATGGTGCCAGGAATGTGCCCAGGAAGGCCAGGCAGCATCTGTGCAAAAAGTGGTGATAACAGAGGCTGGCACTGATGAGGAGGCCTCTTGCATGTCACCCTGAGGAGCTGGGAAAATTCCTGCCACGGCCCCACCTCAAACCATAGGGGCTGTGAGACTCCCGCTATCCCACGATTGTGATATTGAACCAACCATCAAACTATTGAGAGAAATTTCATTCTCCACCAGCAAGAGGAAGCAAGGAAGAAAGAAATGGCCCTTGGGCACCAAATTCTGACCAACTAATACCTGGTGGCTGACGTGGAGGTGACAGGGAGCCAGGGAGTTCAGCGAGGGACCCTTGTGTTCTCTTGTTTGGTGCTCCCACAGCTCCTGTTTCTGAAAGCGCAGCACACCCTAACCCTAACCCTAACCCTGCATCACACCTTTAGGATGGGGGTTGTGGGGGTGATCCCCACCTCTAGAGGAACAAAATGAGCTCAGGCAGGTGAAGGGTGTGCTTAGGGGATACGGCACGTAAGTGGTAGAGCCAATGCCCGGCAGCCAGAGTAACCAATGACAGGACACTCTAATGGCAACAGTCCCCTGGTAAAAGGTAACAGGAGCCTGGACTGGCTGGAACTGCATATGTGTGACGGCAGTCAGGGAACTCCGGGTACGAAGGCAGAGCTGGTGACGGTGAGCTCTAAGAGCTGCCCTGGAGGAATGCACCTGGGCAGGTCGGGAGCAGGGTCCCCCGGGGTGGCAGGAGAGGCTGAAGGACGGTGCATCTGGCTGAAGTACATGGGACGGACTCAGCAGCAGAAGGGGCTGGACAACAGGAGGCTTCCCGAGGAGCGGCTGCCTCACGCCCGGACGCAATAACGAGAAGGGGCGTGAGACGGGGTGAGTGGAAGGCGAGGGCAGGAGAGGGTTTAAAGGAAGAATTAACAGATTCTTGGACTAGGGCTTCCTGCCAATAGAACGAGTGCCCCATCCCTGAGCCACAATCCAGAACTTAGAATATACAGATTTAGGGCAGTGTCAAAAGTTAAGATTTCTAGGATACATAAGCAACAAAAGAAAAATAAAAACTGGACATCATCAAAATTAAAAATTTTAGTGTTTTTGAAAGACAGCATCAAGGAAATGGAACAGCTCACAGATGGGAGAGAAGTTTTACAAATGATATGTCTGATAAAGGGACTGGTTATCTGGAATATATAAAGAACTCTTACAACTCAATAATAAAGACAACCCAATTAAAAATGAGCAAAGGAACTGAAGACAGTTCTCCTAAGAAGATATACAAATGGCCAGTAAGCACGAGAAAAGATGCATGATATCATTAGCCATCAGGGAAATGGAAATCAAACCACAATGAGATACTACCTCACCCCCACTAGGATGGCTAAGTTAAAAGACAGAAAGTAACAAGTGCTGGCAAGGACGCGGAGCAGTCGGAACACGCACACACTGCTGGTGGGAATGTAAAATGGAGCAGCCGCACAGGAAAACAGGTTGGCAGTGCCTCCAAGGGCTCAAAAGAATTGCCACATGATCCACAAATCTCCTAGGCATATACCAAAGAGAGCTGAGAACATACGTCCACACAAAACCCTGTAGGCAAATGTTCGTAGCAGCATTATTCATAATAGTCGAAAAGTGGAAACAGCCCAAATGTCCACCAACTGAAGAACAGATAAGAGGTAATACTGTGTGTCATTCCATACAATGGAATATTATCCAACAATAGAATGGAATAAAGTCAGACACCTGCTACAATGTGGATGAACTTTTGCTTGTAAGAACACTAAAAGGAAAACAGTGGGTTTTAGCTCAAATATCTTTTTTTTTAAAAAAATTAAGCCTAGGCTATTCAAATTATCCTGTTTTTTTTTTTAAAAAAAAAAAACTCTTTCAACATCCAAGGTGAAAATAAAAAAAAATTTTTAAAAGTTTATTGTATGTACACTAAGAACTAAGTTTAAAAAAGTGTATTGTATAACTGACAAAATAATTTCAGGTCAAGTCTATTATATAGAAATTCTATGAGACGGGCCGGGTGGTTTGTAGTAGAGGGCGTGCGCTCTCAGTCGTGTTTGGCTCTTAAAGTGCCACAGCGTCTTCAGCCAGGCACATGCATTTGTTTGCCAACAGCCTCACCTCTCCCAACCCGCCCGCTTCACCCGGTGGCATTTCCTCCCTCGCCCTGCTTTTTATGTAACCAATGTATGGACACATTCATCACCAACTGATGGGTGTGAGTCTTAAGTTGTTTGAAACGGTGCTATGAACTGGGGGTACAGGCAGGAGGCAGGACACCCGGTCCTCTGCCAGGAATGTGCCCCCAATTCTAACACTGCTCTTCTGACACCGCTTCCTGGGACACAGTGAGTTGAAAATTAAAAACTCTCTCTCTGGAGGCATGTGAGAGAGAGAGAACAAGCACAGATACAGGCCTGCAGGCACGGTGGAGGGAGAAGAAATTTGGGATGAAAATGCAGCAAGTCACAGAGCGAGAACGAGCAGGTTGAAGTCAGCGGAGATGAGCAGGCGGCAGCTGCGTCCCTCCCCTCTCACACAGCGTCTAGGGCCACAACCAAGGGGCCCAGGCGGCGCCCCTTTCCCTTCTTCCTAACTGGAAAAGGTCCAGCCCTGTCTCGTCCACAGGTGAGCACAGTGAAGGCTAGGGGGACAGACTGACACCACTCTCGTGAAGATTTTGCATTTAAGTGCTCCGGAACCTGCTGTGCAGAGGAAATCATCCGAGAGTACAGATAGAAATCAGACCCGATCCGATGGGGAGGGAGGACCTGTAGAGAGTTTTAAGATACTGACATAAAGTAAAAGACAAGCCAAGCCCTGGGTCCTGTCCCAGAGCCACGGCAGCAGCCCTGCGTGAACTGTATTTTCTTATATACTGTATCCCTGATGCTCTGACATCTGGGCGTCACTGGCCTGGAGAGACTGTCCCTCCCAGGCTGGCAAACACCTGGCTGGGGCAAACCAAGCCACCCTGGGCCACACCCCGCCGCCTCCAGCATCTGGCTCTCCCCGGGCTCTCTCTCTCCAGGCCAGTGTCCCCTTGAGCAGCCCAGCGCCAGGTAGCGGCAGCCACTGTGCCCAGAGCTGCTGAAATCACTCCAGCCAGCCAGCCCTAAGACTGTCTGCCCCGCCCTGCCCATTCCTTCCTGAGAAAAGCACGATACAGTCTCTCACCACTGTGTCCCCAGCCCCCACCCCCTGACCAACCCAGTATCTCCTATGTGCCCTGTGGCCTGGCCTGCCCCCTCCTCCCGGGAACTATGAGTGACAAACAATCTTCCCAGTGGCAGTCTTGTCCCGATTGGCTGATCGCTCCATACCTGCATTTTAAACCTGCATTTTAAAACAGGCCCATTCTAGAAGCAAACATCGTCCCTGGAAATCCTGGAAGGAGGATTCAGAAAATTTATAGCCTGAAGGTGCCAGGGCTCTGGGGAGAGGCTGGCCCAGCGAGGTACCCCCTGGATGGCTCCTATGGTGGGCAGAGAAGGGATGGAACATGAAGAGAGAGGCACAGGGCCTCGAGAGCCAGAAAAGGTCCAGACAGGACGGGAGGAAGACTCCGGCCAGGAGGCGTGGGCAGAGCGGTGCCCAGGGGAGCGCGGGCACTGGGGAGGGCGCGGGAAGAGGAATGGGGCCGTGGCACGAGACCCGGGCAGCACCGGGAGGGCTGGGCCAGCTCAGCCGTCCAGCTCCTCCTTGACGCTGATGCGCAGCGGGCAGATGCGCAGCGGCTCCAGGGGCCCGTCCCCGCGCGCGCCGCCCAGGTAGAAGTAGGGCCGCACCGCCCCGAAGCGCGCGTGGAAGGTGTACAGGTGGCAGTGGCGCTCGGCGTCGTAGAAGGACAGCTCGCCCTCCTCGCACTCCAGCTCCACGCGCAGGCGGCGCGGGATGGCCAGGACCAGCGGCGACGTGGCCGGGTCCGAGGTCACGCAGTGGTCCCCCTCCACGCCCTGCGTGCGGCACACGTACCAGAAGCCCGCGCGCGTGTCGTGGTAGCAGCTGTGCGAGTGGCCCTCGGCGCCCGCGTCCTGCCGCACGCGCACCACGCCCACCCGCCAGCTCTGCAGCCCGCCGAGCGCCACCTCCCAGGCGTGGGAGCCCTGCGAGAAGACGCGGGAGCCCAGCAGGCAGGGCGCCGAGGAGAAGCGCTCCGGGTTCTCCACCTGCACGCGGTAGCCGTGGTTGGTGACGCTGGTGAGGTCGTCGGACACGGAGAGCCAGCCGGCCGCCGTGTTGGGGTCTAAGCTGAAGGGCACTGCGGGAGAGAGGGGAAATGGGGAAATCAACAAACCTGGCACCCCTCCCCACCGCCATGCCGACCCCAAGCCCCACTCTGTCCATGCAAGGAGCTGCCCGGAGCTGAGGGGCGGTGTTAAGGGACCCCCCAAAAAGATACGTGGCAGTCCTAACCCAGTCCTTGAGAAGGTGACCTTATTTGGGAATGGGGTCACAGCACATGTATTATTAAGAGGAAGTCAGACTGTAGTAGGATGGCCCCTAACACAATGACTGAGATCTTTATAGAAAGAAAAGGGACACAAAATTCACAGGGGAGAAAGCAGGGTGGCTGCGGTGGCAGAGATCAAACTGCGAGAGAATAAATTTCGATCACTCTAAGCCCCCCAGCCTGTGGTCTTTTGTTATGGCAGCCACAGGAAACTATATGGGCAGGGACTCATCATGTTCCCAGGACCCTGTGATGTCTTAGAAAAACACGTGCCACTCCCCTGGGCCACTGGCATCCCTCCCTGTGCAGCCAGGACACAGTGGCTGGTGTGGGCTGGAGTCCCCTCGGGAGAGGTGACCCTGGAGCAAGGAGGTCTTTCATCATACGTGTGACACAGTTCTGATTAGAGAGGGAAGCTGGTTTCCCTCTCTGAAGAGGTGGAAGAATGTCAGGACGCCCAGAGGAAGGCGTTATGCAGGGAGGGTAGGACTGTCAGGACAGAGTGAAGGGGACCGGAGGACCTGCCTGGAGCTGAATGAAGAGGGAGCTCTGAGCAGGTGAGGCCTGGCAGAGACGAGTCCAGCTGGCCCTCTGGCAGCATGAGGAACCCCCTATACCCCTCCCCCATGCTCAGAACACCTGCCCGCGCCCCCGCTCACCAGATTCGACAGACCCGACCATCTTCTTCCAGACGCGGTACTGCAGGGAGTCCAGGTACTTGCAGATGTCGATGAGCATGCCGGGCTGCACGGGCTCGGGCTCCACGGTGCAGAAGAGGCTGGGAAGGAGAACTGGGTGTCAGGCAGGGCCGGGGCCACGCATCCTCGGCCAAACTGGGTTAACTGGACTCGCTCCCTCGCCTCGATCCCAAGTCTCCTGGCCACCTTCCCCAAGACAAGACTGGATGGGACTCAGACGGGAGACAGGCCGGGGGCCCACTGGGCTGCTACAGCCCTTCAGGATCCAGTACAAACGAGGGCTCGCCCTGCCCCAGCTGGGAGAAACACAAATAGGAGGTTCTTCGCCACAGCTGCCATCCTCGTGGGCAGAAATCACACTTACACATCTGGCTCAGGGGATGTCTGAGTTGGAAGGGACCCTAAGGGTGCGCTAGTCCACCAGTCCCAAGGTGTCATCCAGCTTTTGCTCGCACACCGCCAGTGAGTATTGAGCACAGCGGACTCTCTACTGCCCCAAGCTCTCTCTTCCATCTTTGCACAGCTCTGACTGGGACTCAGCTCTTCCTCATTCAGCCCTGTGAACCCAACAACCGTCAACACAAACCAGAGGCTTGGGGCTCTCAGAGGCAGGGGCTGACCAAGAACAAGCCTGCTGTTGGATGGCGCCCTGAGAACTATGAGCCGCGTTCTCCCTCCACGCACAGTAGATGGGGGGACCCTCCACCCTCAGGAGAACGACACCCCGCCCCAGAGCCAACCAGATTTAGGGTGCTGGGGAAGGGGCTGTCTCCACCTGGCCAGGCCCCGCCGTTCCCTCCGTGTTGCACGCGGCTGGCTGTGTTACCTGCCCGGCCCCGGGGCCGCTGGAGTTTGCACCCCTGGGATCCTGCCTGCTCTTCCCCTCCCCTCCACCAGCTTGAGCAACTTACCGGCGCTTTCGGCTCTTGTGTTTCTGGAAAAAAAGAAAAAGAAACAGAGACACAGATGTAGAGAAAATGTAGTATGTGAGTTATAGCTCAATAAAGCTGTTATTTTTTTTTAAAGGAGCCAGAAACCATTCCTGAAAAGTACACTGGGTGCAGGGCAAGATGATGCTTCCAATTTCCTGATCAGCAAGGACCCCAGCTCTTAGAACCCAGCAGGTGATTTCATAACTGGTGGCATTTTGGAGACAGGAGACATCACAGTTCAAGGCTTTGTAGGAGGCAGAGACCCCATAAAGGTCTGGCCCAGGACGTGACACCTGCCTGAACACAGAGATGTCCCTGTCCTTGCCTACTCCTTTCTGAAAAGTCTCCCCTTTCCAGAGAGTTCCACTGTTCTCCAGGGAGCAGAGAGACCTCCCTATCCTCACGGATTCACAAACCAGCTTTCAACTTACAGAAACTTCCCTGTAAGCGCCAATGACTCATGCAGTGGAAACGAAATCAATAAAAGGAAGTAAAAATGAACTCAATATTATTAAAGAGAGAATAAAATCATCCTTTTCTTGAGAAGAAAGAATGCCAAGGCATCATATTTAAATCCAAAATTTAAATAACTGAATAATCTTAAAAGACTCCATTTTATAAAAGAGTAGAGAGAAGAAACAAAAACAAAAAATGAGAGCAAGAGTGAGTGCAAGGTGGAGGGGAAAGAAGAGAAAATTAAGAAAAAAATAAGAGGCTCCCAGAGAACTCCGCTCTAACTGGTCTTTGTAGCCTTTTGGGACAAAGCACATCGCCTGTCCGTGCCTCCAGGCCAGCACCGGGAAGCTCCAGGAAGACCGGGTCGGCCAGGGTTGGTGACCGCTGGCTCCCAGCTGGTCCCCGACATCTGGGCCCTGTCCCCGAATCCAGACGTCGAGCTCCTTACCATGAGAAAAGAAATGTCGTCTTCCTTCATCTCCATCTGCAGACGCTCGATCTCATGGGCCAGCACCTCCGTCTCCTCCGTGAGCTGCTTCATCTTCTCCTCGGCCAGAAGCTGCTTCTGCCTGGTCTCCTCGGCCATGGCGTCCAGGATGGCCTGCTCCTCCACGCGCAGGAACTCGCGCAGCTTGTCGAACTCCTGCCGGATGCGGCTCTCCAGCCAGGCCGCCTCCACCTACGGCAGACAGCACGGGAGTCAGAGGTCGGACGCGCAGGGGGCCTCAGCCACCGCCCGCCCAGGGACTTCCGGATTCTTAGTAAAGAAACTCCACGCTCAAAAGAAATCACATGTAGAACCCTACAGGTGAAATCATACACCGCAAATCATAACCACAAAAAGCATTTAAAAAGCGAAAGCAAAACCATAAATGTAACCAAAGAAAAAGCAAAGAATTATTTCTTGTCTTGGAATAAGAAAGACATTCCTGAGCATAATAATATGAAACTGAGAAGACTTAAAGAAAGAATGAGATAATTAGATACACAGAAAATAAGAGGTTTCATATGGGAAGACTGTTCATAAAGTTAAATATATAAATATAATAAATATAGTTCCATGACAACTACTGGAAAAACAACTCAAAAAATGTGTGCTCTAGCAATGGCAGGTTAGTGATCTTATCTTTAGATTTAAACTTCAATACAGAGGCTCCTCAACTCATGATGGGGTTACATACCAACAAACCCATGGTAAGTTTAAAATATTAAGTAGAAAATGCATTAATACACCCAACCTACCAAACATCATGGTATAGTCTAGCCTACCTTAAATGGGTTCAGGATACTTACATTAGCCAACAGTTGAGCAAAACCGTCTAACACAAAGCCTATTTTATTTTATTTATCTATTTATTTTTTTGGAGATGGGGTCTTGCTCTCTTGCCCAGGCTGGAGTGCAGTGGTACAATCATAGCTCACTGCAGCCTCAAACCCCTGGGCTCAAGTGATCCTCCTGGCTTAGCCTTCTGAGTAGCTGGGACTACAGGTGCACACCACCACATTACCACACCCAGCCAAAGCCTATTTTACAATAAAGTGCTGAATATCTCATGTAATTTACTGCATACTATATTGAAAGTGAAAGACAGAATGATCGTATGGGTACTTGAAGTACAGCTTCCACTGAGTGTGTATCAATGTCACACCATTGTAAAGTCAAAAAAAAAATAAACCATCACAAGTTGGGGACCATCTGTATGTTTACGGCTCTGGAAATACGATGACAAAATGATTCACTGACAAAGTGAAAATGACCAGGAAAAGTGAAATGATTCAGTGAAAAAGAAATAACTAAAAAAAAAAAAACTGAAACATAAATGACAAATTGTTATTCTTCTTAATGTACAAAGAAAGCATTTTTATTAATACAAATCCACGAGGAGAAAAGACAAATATTCCAAGGGGAAAAAGAGAATTTACCAATAATCAAAGCAATGCAAATGAGAACAGATGAAAGACGGACAAGGGCTGTGGTAGAAAACGTAGAATCCCCCTCAGGAAAAATCAGCAAGTGCAAAGTCAACTGCACCCCCCCAACTGTGAATGACAGCCTCATTGCAAAGGGGTAAACACCAGAACTTTCACTTCTCTCATCGACCTGGATTAATGGAACTTAACAGGAAAAGCATTGATCAAACTGGAGTCCTAGAGGCCTCACACCTGACCACGTTGCCCTTAGCCTAGGAGTTCACACTGCCTAGGATGGGCAAGTGGCGTTGCCACCTGGACAGAGGGACACTCCCCAAGTGCAGTCCCGAACAAGGCAAGCCAGTCCGATGGAAGGAGTGAGGGCTGTGCCCAAGTGCAGTGGGAAGTCACGGGCAGCCTGCAGCAGAGGAGTGGCGAGGCTGATGTGTTTCTCTACAAGGTCACCCGGTCCAGGACAGCAGGACACACAGGCAGGACAGAGGGCCAGGTAGGGGCCAGGTGAGCAGTGATGCTGACCTGGACCAGGCGGGCAGCAGTGAGGTGGAGAGCCGAGCAGGTGTGACGTATTTGGAGATGGGGGCCCAGGACTGCTGAGGGAGTGCACGTGGGGACGGAGAGGAAACAGGAATCGCTCATGAACCCCAGGTCACCAGCGGCTTGAGCACACGGGCAGACAGTGAGGAGAGGTACGTGCTGAAGTCTCTCTTACAGCACAGTGCAGATGGCGCAGGTGGAGTTTTGAGCTGTTCCTGTGGCCACGCCCAGGTCTTTAGAGAGGCCGGGACAGAGAAGCCACACTCGGAGTCCAGGGCGTGGCTGCACCAGGCTGTGAGTGCTCAGGAAGGCCAGCTACGGTCAGCAGTTACCTGGTAGGTGATGCTAGCCCAAATCAGGCCAGCCCGTCTTCGCCTGTCCTCCCGACTACCTCAGTGTCCCCAGTGCCCGCTCAGCCCACATGCTCACTCACCTGATTGTGCTTGGCGATGGCCTCGTAGGAGCGCCGCATGGCCCAGAAGGCCTTGGCTTTCTCCCGCAGTGCATGCTCCATGTTCCTGCACTTGGCCTGGCGTGGGGAAGAAGAGGAGGCAGGGAGGCAGGTGAGGCTGGAGGCCGGGGAAGGGAGGACAGACACGCCACGTTGGCATGGCAACGTCACTCCAACATGAGTGTGATGCAGCTGCATCTGCAGCGTGGTCACAGTTCCCCTTTGCAATTTTCCAAACTGGATGGGTCTGCAGTCACTAACGTGCAGGTCTGACAACAGGGACCGACCCAGTCACTCCCATGGGCCTCAGTTACTTCCCACAACGCCTTACCTAAACATGCACCCCCATACCCTTCCCTGCTCTGACATTCTAATACTGTTTGGATCACGGGAAATACTTTAATCAGCAGGTTCAAACACCTTTTGTTTAGTGTGCTTTGTTTTTTTAAACTCTAATCGTTGCTTCTGATCTCCTTGGACTCCTTGAGGAGCGACTGTGAGTTGGCTGGATTCTCCCTGTCTGTGTCTAAGACCAAGCATTTTCTCTCACCTTTATCCTCTTCTCTCTGCATTCTGAGAAAGCTGCTCAAGTTTTTCTTAGGAAAAATAGTAACAATTCTAATACTATTAATTATAAATGACTATCATGGATTGAGCATTTACTCTGTGCCAGCGACTGTGCTATTTACTTGAGAAAGTATGTCATTTAATCATTACATTATCCCTATTAGGTAAGTAATATTATTAGCCCCATTGTACAGATGAGCAAATGAAGCTCAGAGGGGAAATGACTAGCCCAAGGGCTCACAGCCTGTATGTGGCAGACTCAGGGCATCAACCCGGACAGTTGTGCAGGTAGCCACTAAGATAGCCACAGTGATCCCATCATCCTGTGAGATAAGAGTTTGTTTCAAGCTGCTAAATGATTTGTTACACAGTAACAGTTACTATGTAACAGTAAAATGTTGCACAGTAAACATATCTACTGCCAAAAGCCTCGTCCCCACCCAGATCTGATTTAGATGATGAGAGTCTGGGCTTTGGGCAGATGCTGCAATGGGATGGGACGTTTGGGAGCTTAGAGAAAGTGAATGACCTCTGCCTGTGGGAGGGATGTGATGCTTTGGGAACCAGAGGGCAAACTGAAGTAGGCAGCCTCAAAAATGGCCCCAGGGATCCCCACCTCCTGATATTCATGCCCTTGTGAAATCTCCTCCCATGGGTTGGACCTAGTGCCATGCTTTTGGATAATAGAACGTGGCAAAAGTGAAGGCAGGCCACCTCTGAGACTAGGTGGCGAAGCCTGTGCACTCCCTGCCTGGCTCCCTTGCTTGAGCACAGAGATGGGAGCCAGCTGCCATGTGGTGATCCACCCCTCAGAGTGGCTCAGGGGACAAGGAACTGATGGTGGCCTACGGCCAGTGAGGGACTGAGGCTCTCAGGCCAGCGACCACATGGGAGAGCTTGAAGGAGGATCTTGCCCTGGGTGAGCCTTCAGATGAGACCACACGCCTGGCCAACATCTTCATGACCTTGAGGCAGAGGCACCCAGAGCTAAGCCATGTCCAGATTCCTGCCCCTCAGAAACCGTGAGATCATACGTGTTTGTTGTTTTAAGGCACTAAGTTTTGGGGAAATCTGCTATGCAGCCACAGAACTAGCCCAGCGGTCCAGCTCGGTAGCCTGTTCTTTTAACTCTTACACTATAGAAAACAAAACAGTGACTGATTCCATTTTCTGCCAGTTCCATTTTCTACTCACTCTGATCATTTTTTGTTCTTAGTGAGAATATTTAACAGATTTTTAGACATTGTTTTCTGTTCTATGTCATCTCTAAGATATGTCTCCTAGCAAGCGAAATAACATTAGTATGAGCACTAACAAGATCACTGAAATGTCATCCAATGTTTTATTTTGTAGAATGAGATTTTTTGATACAAAGTCATGTAACAGAGTCCGAAAGGACACTCTTGTGACCTGCCAATTGAGAATGGCAGGAGTGAAGCAGCTGCCCATACACATTACCCGGACATGTGCTGGCCCCAAAATAGCACGGCCCAGCCCTCTGCCCTGGCCCTTAGGTGGCTATGGGATAGTGAGGATGGGAGGATGGGAGGGGGCTTCTCAGACTTTTCAATCACTTGGAGAGTTGAGATGATCTCGGAGAGGTACCTCGTCAAGATTGTCTTGGCAATTCTTGGCCCTTTGGGTGTCTCATAAATTTTAAAATTAGCTTGTCAAGCTGCACAAAAATTAATCATGTTGGGATTTAGATTAGTACAGTATTGTCTCTATAGATCAATCTAGGGAAAACTGAAATGTTTAAATATCGAGTCTCCTAATCTATGAATATGATATATCTCACCAGTTATTTAATCTTCTTTGATGTCTCTCAATTTAGTATTATATTTTTTCCTACCAGATTTTTATATATCTTTTGTTAATTTCTTCCTACATACTTGATTTTTATACTATTATAAACATACCTTTAAACTTTACTTTCTATTTGCTAGTGATATATAAAAAACAATTGATTTTGTATTTTGATTTTAATGATTCAACATTCTACCTAAACTTATTAATACAATTTGGGTAAAGAATCTTTTTACTTTTAGGCAATAGAAATTTTAATGGAGAAATATGCAATCATATTCTCTATATACAATGCCAGTCTTGTTCTCCATATTTCCAAACCTTACTTCATTGGCAAGAATATCCATTATGAAATTGAAGAGAATTCGTCAAAATGGGCATTCCTGTCTTACTGATCTTAATAAGAAAGCTTTCAATGTTTTTTCATTTAAATATGGTATTTGCTGTAAGTTTTTTGATAGATACCCTTAATCAGATTAACAAAATTCCTCCTATTCCTAGTATGCTAATTTTTTTTAATCACCAAAAGATGAGAACTTTAACACAACTTGGGTGTCTCGAAAAAAAAACAAAAAAAAAACAACAAAAAAATAAAAGATGAGAACTTTATCAAATGCTTTTTCATCTACTGAGATAATCAAATTAAGCAGTACAGAATTGGGTTTTGTTTTCTTATCCAGTGGGACAACCACTGTCATTTAACTGAAGCATTTAACAGGTAACCACTGAAATATTCTGCATTTAAATCTGCCACCTCATTCTGCGCTATCTGTTCTGCTCATTCTAGTTTTCTTTTTCTTTTATTACTTTTAAAATTTTATTGTACATCTTTATTTCTCTTTTTCCCCTTCTATGCATTTAGTGGTTAACCTAGAAAATGCTACATATAAAAAGTGTGAAGTTGAATGCATCTAAACAATATTCTTCTCTGTTTGCTTTTGATATTCTGATTTTAACCCTGAACATGCTTGGATCATAAACAGACCCACCACCATTCAAGGGACCTGCCTGTAGCCCACGGAGCACCGGAACGAGCAGAGACGGTATTACTGGGAGCTCTGGTGCAGCCTGTTCAGAACCCACACGGACCCTCTCCCAGCTCTGGGAGGAGCTCAGTGGCCTGAGACGGGTCTGGAGCGTCACCCTGGCCCCAAGCCCAGGGAAGCAAATGAGCCCTGATTCTGGCACCGCATGATAATATTCAAGATTAGTTATAAACACACAAATAGGAGGGGTTTTTTTTACACTAAAGGATCCACAGTTTCTCAAAATTCACAAGTTGATTCCTTAAGCAGCAAATTTCAGTTGCATATTTAATGCCTTAAGCACTTTACAAAATCATGTCACCCACGATCTCTGTTAACAGGATAGGTGCTCTGTGGTATAACAGAGAGCGGGACAGTAGGGGTGAGGGGAAGAAAAAGGATTATTCCACAAAGTCTTCTCAGCCCCCTTATGAAAGTGCTAGAGCTGCATCTGTCTGCCCTGAGCCCAGTTTTCTGTCCCATGAGACTCTACACATGCCATTGCCTCTGCCTGGTCCCCACCTGCTTCCTACAACTATCTCAACACCACCTTGAAAACTCAGCTCGGGGCCCCCCATCATTTTTATACTATTATAAACATACCTTTAAACTTTACTTTCTATTTGCTAGTGATATATAAAAATACAATTGATTTTGTATTTTGATTTTACTGATTCAGCATTCTGCCTAAACTTATTAATATAATTTGGCTAAATAATCTTTTTATTTTTTATGCAATAGAAATTTTAATGGAGAAATATGCAGGAAGCCACCTCTCCAGTTCAGGTTCTGTTCAGGTGAGTCTCTAGGGGCTCTCTCAGTGCCCTGACACCTCTATGCCAGTTCCCATTATCACTGTCTGGGATAATCGCCTCCTAAGGGCAGTTCCTACCCTCCAGGTCCTCTCTACCTGGCACATGGGCGCTCAGCACACCTATACAGAAGGAAGGAACACGTGCTCTGCAGGGCAAGAGGCTTTTTGATCTCCCTGCACGTCCTCAGGTCTAGGCACAGGGTAACCACTCGCCCATCGAGTGCAACGAATGCCCACATTCTTTCTGCTACACTACCTCGAGCTGAAGGTTAGGACAGCCAATTTGGAGCCTGGTCTTTGTCACCAACCACCAGTGAAGTGGCAGAAGTTCTTTCTCCAGCTAGCAGGCTCTTCGCCTTAAAAAATGAAGGCAAAAAAGTGTTCTCCATTCTCTCAAATTTCACTATGAAAACAAAGAATGCCGTTTCCCCTGTTCGTGCTAAGCTGGCCCGTCACCTGGGCCTCCCGTCTTTTTTCCCCATGTATTTCAAATATTTTGTTTTCAGGCAGATTGATGTAGCAGCTAAGGGCACTGGCACCCAGCCACCCAGGTTCAAATCCCACCTAATAGCAGGTGATCCTGTTCCCCAACTTCTCTGCACCTGTTTCCTCATCTGGATACGCCCGAAGGACTTCTGTGAGGACTCCACAAGTCAAGCCACGTAAAATGCTTGCAAGAGAGTAGCAGGCAGGTGCTGTGCATTCAGTAACTGTCGGCTTGTAAGTACTGAATGGCTGTCCAAGCTTCCATTTTCTCATTAGTGAAATGTAACCATCTCCTCACAGTCCCCTATAAGTCTGTGTCTGCATATTTTAATGGTGTTTTCATTTAATGACAACCTAAAACAGTACTAGGACGAACCCATTCTGAGTCATCCCATACACAGAGTGCTGACACATGCGCTTGGCTCCTAGCACTTCAGCACCAGTGTTCCTGTTTTCTTAACAACTTACTTACCATCAGGCTATACTGTCTTCCTTGTCTTAAGGAAAGAAGAGAAATACACTTAGCAGGTAAAGAATGTGCTAGAACCAAATGAAGGCCAATCCCATCATATGCAAGTTTCAGAGCTCTTCAAATAGGGAAATGTTTGCAAATCAAGTAATCACTTGGAACAAGAGTAAATGGGGAACCAAAAGTATCTTTGCCAGGAGCAGAGGTTTCATTTCAACAAAACGAAACCCTACAATTATTATTTTAAGTAATGTTATTGATTTTAAATTTTATTTGTATTTAATCTATCAACTTTGTTTGGTTTTATTGCTTATATGCTGTATAAGCAAGTGAATTTACACCAGTTTTGTTTGTATGCATGCAAGTAATACAATACAATCATTTAAGTCACACTGTTGGACTATTTTTTCCTTTAAGGAGAAGGTGGCCTACTTCAAGTCTGAGAAACACCGCACTCCGGGATTTCCCAGGCTCCCTCCAAGTGCTCATTCCTTCCAGAGTTCTGGTTTAAACACTACGCCACGCTCCCAGATGCCATCGGTCATTCCATCATGCGCACTGCACTCGGGACAAAACCCCAGCTCCCTAACGAACCCCTCAGCACCCTGTGGGGTCTGTCTGGACCCCCTCATTTCACACCTGAATCACCTCCCTGTCACTGCATGCCCCACCCCACGCTCCCCTCCGTGCCGGCCACTCCTCTCTCTTAGCTCCTCTCTGTGAAGTCGCTTCCCTGGAGACTCCCGCCCACGCCCCCCCAGACAAGAACAGCCCCCTCCCCTTACAGTCCACCACCCCATCCCGCACTGTCCTTCACAGGAGCGTCAGCTGAGCCAGTGTCATTCTCAGTGAGATGATTCATTAATGCCCACCTGACTCCACAAAGGCCAGGTCTATCTTAAACTGTCCTGTCCCCTACTGGACACACTGCGCCTGGCACATAGTAGGCACTCAGTCACCACCTTCTGCCTGCCCACACAGTGGCCAACAGCCACTCAAACCTCTAAAGCCCGCAGCCTGAGCTGGCTGTCCCCATGGCTCTGGACGAGGGAAGCCTCTCTCAAAGTCCAGGGCCAGAGTGAGGACTGAATAAGGCCCCAGGTGAATTCTGTATCTACTTGCTCTGTGACTTTGGGCACGTTACTTAACCTCTCTGAGACTCAGTATCACTGTCTATAAAATGAGGCTAACAGTACCTACCTGTAGCAAGCTGAATGCCACCCCCAAAAGATGTGTACTTTCGGATCCCTAGAACCTGTGGATTTATTACTTTACATGACAGAAGGAATTTGCAGATGATTAAATTCAGGATCTTGATACAGGCGGATTATCCTGGATTATCTGGATGGGCCCAGTGTAATTGAAACCCCGTAAGAGGGAGGTAGTAGAATTAGTCAAAAGAAGGCAATGTGACAATAGCAGCAGAATGGAATCATGCATTTTAGGTACGGAGGAAGGGGCCTCTAGAAGGCAAGGAAATAAATTATCCCATAGAGCCTCCGAAAAGAATGAAACCCTCTGACACCTTGAATCCAGACTTCTGACCTCCAGAACTAAAGGATAATAAGTTCACGCTTTTTTAAACCACTATGTGGCCATTTTTATGGCATTAATAGGAAATTCATATATGACCTCATGGTGTTTTTGTGAGCATTAAATTTGTTGACATGTGAACACTTAAAAGCACCCAGCACACAGTGGGTACTCAAAACGTGTTAGCTGGTATGATTATTACTTTTGCTGAATTGCTCACACAGTTACCAAAGTAATCTTTTTCCAAAGCATGCATCTCATCACAAAATCCCCTTCCTAGAATCTTCCAGGGCTCCCCACAGCACGCAGTGGAAAAGCCCCTCGGCAGGGCACACAGCCTCTGGCGTGCCCCTTCTCACCGAGGGTGGGGGGAACTTCCCCTACCGCTCCCTACAGCCGCCTCCAGTCACGCAGAACCACAGCTTGGCCACTGGACGGGCTTTCCTGCTGCAGCGTGAACTCTACCAGGCTGTTTAAGAGGCTGCGGCACACGACAGGGCCCTCAGTACCTCCTGGTCTAGTAAATGAGTGAGCAGTACTTGCGTCAAATTGACCACACTCGACTTGCACTGTCCTCAGATCTTTTGGGACTAGACTCCTCAGACATCACCATTCTTCTGCTAAAACCCCCAGCTGCTCACTACAGTCTTTTGGGTAAAGGCCAAGGCTCAGGCCTGTCGGACTCTCCTGCACCTCCATCCCTGTTCTAACTACTCTGAAACTCTCTCAGCGCCTGGAAGAGCCAGGCTACCCCACTGCCACATCTTTCCATATGCTGCTGTGTTGGGTGACCAGGAGACAGAGAAGCAACTCAATATGCCATAGAAATGCATGCCATACTGTCACGGACCTACTACAGGGTAAAATGCAAAAGAGAAGATGTCAGAGAAAGGTGAGGTACATGCCTCCCTATGGGGGTCTGCCTGGAATACGTTTCCTCACCTGGCTAACACCTCCTCATCCCTCTGGTTTCTGCTGGAAGCTACCTGAAGCTGTGAATTGTCATCTATCTCATTTCCTGCAATAGCTGGGGACTTAGCAGTACAAGGCATCTGCTTGAATACACAGAAAGCTGTCACTAGACACTGTGCTCTAGTGCCTGGCTCACCGCTTTTGAATCCTAGGGTTGGCCCTGACCTGGGGGCTCTGCCTGGGCATTCGCAGCTTTGACCCCTGCCCATCTCCTTATCTTTACCCATGCCAGCCCCATGGAGACTACTCATGATCCAGTCCACGGTCCCCCTCCAGGCTGGCCAGCACTTTCTTCAGCTGTCCCAAATCAGGACCTGACACTTCTGCCAGTTGGAATGGGAAAAAGCACTGTTGTGGACCACTGGTAAACAAAAAAGGTGACAGGAGCAATACACGGTTACTTGTAAGGCATGCATACTGATGGCATCCTTACATTCCCCTTGAACTTCATCAAAATGTATATGGAACTGTACTCAACATTTGATATTTCATAACAAAGGCATTGCAAAAAGAAAAAAAAAAGGAGGGGGCGTCTGGAGACCAGTCCTTGGAGTTTCTTGCAGGGCCTCTTTTCGATGCATTCAGCTTCCTGTCAGCAGCCAGTGCTCTCCAAACTGTGGGTGTGACTCAAGTATTAGAAGGTGATGAAATAAATTTAATGTTTCACATTGTGTGTAACTGCTAAAAATTAAAGTAACAGAAAATGCCAGGGTACAATGGACATTCTCAGAAAACTTTTGTTTCAACTGATAGATATGTTCTAGGTTGGTCTAGGCCACAGTGGATAACGGATTTCTTCCTACAGGCTAAAGTCAAACATTTTGAAAAATGCTGAGCCAGGCTAACCCTTATTTTCTGGTCAGTTTTCCTTCCTGGACCAAAGGATTCTCCATGTTACTTTGGCCCTGTTAGTTTCTCCTGGAACTCAAGGCATTAGGACGCTGGGTGATAAACCAGAATAAACCAGCTGGCAGGGGCCAAAGGCCTAGATAACAGAAACCGTGGGGTCAGCTCGCAAGCAGGCAACTGATTTTGGGGTGATCTTAACGCTCCATATGCCTGGCCAGGTCTCGGGCTCCTCCTCCACTTCTACGCTGAGGGTGCCAAGCTCAGGAGTTCGCGGGCACTAGCCAGAGACCAGCGCTGCTCAAACGGGCCTGGGCCACACCCCGCTGGCGCAAGGAGGGCATGGCCTGGGCCCTACAGAAGGGCACGGGACTGTCTTGAGAACATCGTGGAACCCCAGCTCTCACTTTCTGTTTACATTCTCTCCTCTCCCACCTCCCCGGCAGGTAACCGGGCTCAGAGAGGTGGGGGTCCTGGGCTGGGACTGGGCACAGGCGGCTCCTACCGGCAGGAGCGGCGCAGGCGGGAGGAGCCACGCGGTGCTGGGCTCGGGCCACCTCACCCACCGCGCGCCCCGCCGCGCTTACCCGAAAGTCGTGGGCAGTGTCCTTCACGGGCTGCACGCGGTGGCCCTGGTGCCGGGGGTCGGCCTGGCACGAGCAGCACAGCAGCTCCTTGTCCTCGAGGCAGAAGAGGCTGAAGGGGCCGCGGTGCGGGCGGCAGACGCGCGGGGAGCGGTGTCCGGCCCAGCGCGCGCCCTCGGCCTCCTCGCGCAGCAGCTTCTCCACCAGGTTGTTGAGGGTGTGGTTGGTGCGCAGGTCGGCGGGCGACGCGCGGTCCTTGCACACCGGGCAGGTGGGCGCCACCTGCACCTCCCAGCAGCGGCTCACGCACGCGCGGCAGAAGTTGTGGCCGCAGCGCAGAGTCACGGCGTCGCGGAACGGGTCGTAGCAGACGGCGCACAGCAGCTCCTCCTTGAAGGAGCGCGAAGGCCCGGGGGACGCGTCGGGGCTCCGCTCCATGGCCCGAGCCGCCCGCTCCCGCGCTCACTGCTGTCGCCCTGCCCCTCCCACCCGCCTAGAGGGGCGCGCCCGCCGCCGGACAGACGGCGGCGCCCAGCCCCTTCCTTCCGGAGCGCTGAGCGACGGCGGTGCTGGCCAGTCGCGCGGGGCGTTCAGGGAGGCCCCGCCTCACTTCCGGTTGGCGCGGAAACCCCGGAAGAGCGGGGCGGCCCTGGTGCTCTCGCTGCGGCCGGCTGGCTCCCGGCGTCCGGGGCGCGCCGGCCCGTTGCGGCGCGGAAGAGGTTCTCCGCTGCTCTGTAAGGCTTCCGTGTCACTGGAAACCTACTTCCGACTCGAGATGGAAATGAGGTCTAGGAACTGCTTCCTTAACCAATCCCTGGGAATCCCGGGCGTGCGAGGTGGGAGAAGCCAGGGATCCTAACCTCCTGGCCCCGGAGTGGTGGCTGGCTCTTAAAGCACCGTCGGCGCTCTCTCGACTTGGGGCATGTACTGCCTTTGCAAAGACCCGTCTCCACCCTTGTGTCAGTCGTTTACTGATTTTGGCCAGTCTTCTTCCGGCCCCCCGCGGTAAAGAGGAAGCAAATGAGGGAAGAGGGTGGAAGACCCCTGAGAAGACCAGATTCTTGTCCTGTGGTTGCATAGGTGGACAAGTCACAGTCTTTCACAGTCTGTTTCCCCATGAGTAAAATCGCTGTGCTATCTCTGTCTCCGTGAAATGTGAAGATAAACTTGGAACAGGAAATAAATACGGAACGTGACCGTGACGTTAGATCCCCATTAAAACAGATTAAGGCCGGGCATGGTGGCTCACGCCTGTAATCCTAGCACTTTGGGAGGCCGAGGCGGGCGGATTGCTCAAGGTCAGGAGTTCGAAACCAGCCTGAGCGAGACCCCGTCTCTACCAAAAATAGAAATAAATTAATTGACCAACTAAAAATATATATACAAAAAATTAGCCGGGCATTGTGGCGCATGCCTGTAGTCCCAGCCACTTGGGAGGCTGAGGCAGAAGGATCGCTTGAGCCCAGGAGTTTGAGGTTGCTGTGAGCTAGGCTGATGCCACGGCACTCACTCTAGCCTGGGCAACAAAGTGAGACTCTGTCTCAAAAAACAAACAAACAAACAAACAAACAAAAAAAAACAGATTAAGGACTTCTGCAAAGTTTAGCTGGGAAAAGTGGAATCTACACTGAATTCTTGCCTGGTATAGCAGACCTGAATTCCTCCAACTGCCCGCTCCTGCCTCAGTTTGATCACTTTACAGCCTTCAGATGTAGAATACTTTTCACATGACACTTCCATTTCTGTCGTCTTGGGAGACAGTTCTCCACATGTTTCATGTCCCTGCATGTCTTCAGAGCAGAGGTCCTGACTGCCTTTTCCCAACTGCCTTCTTAAGAATGCTTCTGTGGTGAACAGCCTTGGGAGGGAGAAATAATGTCTCCCTTCATGCAAATTTGTAGCGGACTTACTCCCCATTGTAAAAGATTCAGATTTCCTAAATTCAGGGTTCCTCTCCTATCATGCAACCTACTGTCACCGTCATCACACAGGCTTGTGGGAAGTGGAGCTCAGGAAACTGGCCTGATGACAACACTCTGACTACTGTTACTGCTGTTAGGAATGAACTGCCTTTTGTCTCTGACCATGAGTCTCATACTTTTTATTAACATGAATGAAACTGGCATGCAAACTCAATATGTTAGTTTGCAAGTAAGGTAAAATCTGGGACCCTTTACAGCTCTTGACAATTTCCTTCTAAACTTGTCCTCAGAATAGTCCTTTCCTCACAATGCCAAGGGGACAGATACCACTAATTCTTATATTGCCTTTATATATGGTCTACGGACCTCCTGCAATTACCTGGGGAGCTTTCTAAAAGCACAGCTTCCTGGGCCCACTTCAATCTACAACCCTCTCTTGGGGAAGAGGCCCAGGAGTCTGCATTTTTACACATTCACCAGGTGATTCTCAGGCCCACTGAAGTTTGAGAGCCAATGTTCTAGATAACCGGCCAGTCAGGCCTCCAACTGTGGATATTGGTTCAAAAATTAACCTGCAGGGGCAGTATCCAAAAAAGCCACAAGATGGGGCTAATAACCCTACACGCCAGGCACTTCTGGAGAATCTTGTCTCTTGTCATATTCTTTCCTTGTGCTCTTCTTATTTATGCATTTCCTGTTGCTCTGTGATTCCATCTGTATTGCTATCTATGTGTTTCATTCTATTCTTATCTGATTTTCCTTATTTGTTTTGTTGTTTGTTTTCTTTCTCATACTCTGAATAGGGCCACAAATCAAAATAAGAACAAAGAGTAGAAATTCAGATCAAAAAGTGTTGGTGGGACAAGGAGAAAGGCTGCTGAGTGGGTCAGCTGCAGGCCTGGCAGTACATCTTCAGAAATAGGCGACCAGAGCTGCAGACACAATAGACTTTGTTCATCAGAGAATTGTCACCGAGGAAATCTTTGAGGAAGTCATTGTAGTCTGATGCTTGGTATGGAACACAGATGGCTTGGACCTTCTCTGAGACCTAAACCACAGAAACAAGGAGGGGGTTGCTCTTAGTAGGCCTGAATAATGCTGGATTATTTCCATAAAAAATAGTTCTTAATGCAAGTGGCTAGGGAAACACTAAGAGTGGTAAACTGCCTGCCCCTGTATCAGATTTGGCTGCAGACATCTTTTATTTGATCCATAAAATAAAACGCACATTTTTTTTCTTTGTGTCAGTTAAGCTATAGATATACAAAATGCAACACAAAATGATTTAAGCAAGAAGAGGGTTGATTTTCTCACATAACAGGAAGTCTGGAGGCAAAAAAGCCCCAGGGCTCATTATGTCAGTGCCTACAGCTTCCTTTTAGTTGGAAAATGACTGTGACAGCTCCAGCATCTTAATTGATATGAACCAATATCTGGAAATGAAATACAGCCATTTCGCCCTGTGTATGCCTCATTTTAAAAGCTGAGAAACCTTTCCTAAAACCTTCTAGAAGACTTCCCCTCACGCTTTATTGGCCAGAACTGGATCACATGCTCACTCTAAATTCATCACTGGCAAAGGGAATGAGACCACTGTGATTGGATTGAACCAATCAGGATTGGCCTGAGTCACATGGTGGAAGGATGGTCACCAAGACGCATCTGGGGCACTGCTATTTATTATTAATATTAAAGAGGGGGAAGTCACCATTAGGCAGGCAACTACCTGGACAATACTGAGTCTTCTAATCCATGAACACAGGACATCTTTCCATTTACTTATGCCTTGTGTCATTTTTTTTCAGCAATGTTTTGTAGTTTTCAGTATACAAGTCTTTCACTTCCTTGCTTGTTTATTCCTTAACTATTTTATTCTTTGGGATGCTATTGTAAGTGGAATTGTTGCCTTAATTTCCTTTGCAGATAATTCACTGTCTGCCTTTGCTTCTTCTTCTTCTTCTTTTTTTTTTAAAGAGAAGATCTGGCTACATTAAGCTTACTTTCCTGCATGGCAATAGACTTTTGAGCTGAACAGCAGCTGCTCCCGTAGGAGGGACATTTGTTCTTCAATTTGCCACAGTTCCTATCCAGCCAGCTTCCCTCTCGTTCCCTGCCTGGCCTACTGGCATTTGGGCTTTAACCCCTTGTCTAGATCATCCACAGTGGAAGTTACATGTCGCCGATATTCACTATAAAGGCAAAGGCGCTAGCGTGGCAAAACACTCTGGAACACACAGGCAGCTTGGCAACTGGACAAAACACAGTCAAAGCTGATTTCTCATGTTCCTGAAATTTATATTTAAGCAGCCAATTATGTTTTTGCAAACATTTTGTATGGAAATACTTCTGAAATATAGTGTGTGCCTTTTTCCTTCTAAAATAAAGGATGCAGAATATAACTTAAACTATTCCTCATGACGTACCAAAATTGACCACATTGACTTTCCTGTGCCAGGTGATAAAGTGACACCCTCAGGAGTTAACCACATGTGCAGGGTTTGTCTCTGTCCTATTAATGGCCACAGATGCCTGTGTTTTGAGGGCTCTTGTACTTGCTAGGCATTTTTGGTTTTCCTTTCCTTTCTAGAGGTTCTTCTTGCTGCTAACAATGCATTTCCCTGCAGCAATCTGCTTCTACGCCCTAGTCAATGATTCCAGGACTGGGACCAGATAGCCACGTTCCTTAGGATTGTCAAAGTCAACAGTGGCAAGACAAGGTTTGTGCAGTTAATCCGTAGCTTCAGAGCTTACTAACCCTGGGGTGTAGGGAACAAGATGAGCTCCAGGAAGACCAAAGCCACAGAAGTTATGAAGCTAACTTGGAGTGGGCAGGGCAGCAGGGAAGGCTCTATTTCACCGGGCAGCTGCTCTCTGAAGGAGCATCCTGCAGCCACTGTGGGAGGTACGGGAGCCCCCGAGGTACCCAATAGTTGTGGAAATCACATGGCTTCGGTGGCACTGAGGCTCTCTGCCTATTGCTCTTTAATGGAAAAATGAAAAACATCCTTCTGCCATTTTTCCATCCGACACTCACTCTCGGAGACCCAGATCAATTTCTCAATGGCTTAAATAAGCCTTTATTTTTCCCAAGGAGATTCACATTGGATTCTTTCCAGGAGCCTATGTTTATTCCTCTCTGTGGAAAGACCTTATTCTATTCATTAATTTTAACTTTTTCATTATGAACATTTTCAATATACTCAGTATCATAGAAAGAACAGTATAATTAGCCACCAGGTACCCATCATTCCACTTCCATCGTTATCAACTTTGCTATTTTTGTTTCTTCTCTCCACATTTTCTGGGGATGGGAGAAGTGGAATATTTGGAAGTAACCATTATTTTTTGGGGGAACCCATCTTTAAAAGTTGCTACAGGACATAAAATCCATGAATATCAGCTATGAGCCACAGAACTAGCAAGGAAATGTGCATGGATTATGTACCTCTAATCCTTCCAACAACCCTATAAGGTTAATGAATCCCATTTTATAAGTGAGGAAATTGAGGTTCTGCCTTAATTAGTACCTAACATAGGCCAAGTTATGGCATATTAGTTAGGATGTTCTGAAGAAGGCATGTACGTGCTGCCTCCCTGTCTTCACTTCCAATTCA